AAACTCACACAGCTAGAAAGTAGCAGGAACTGTTGGATCTGTGGGTGGATTCTGTGGCGTAGGTGGTGCAAGGTGTCCAGCCTGCCTGAGTGAAGGTCCATGTTTGCAAGTGCTAGGAATGGACTTGGACAGGAAGGAATGAGGGGTTTTGTGAAGGCACTTGAGATGGGGGGTTTCAGAGTGATAGTTAGAAGCTGCAGGTTCTGAGGGGACAGAGTGCTAATGTGAAATCTTCTTTTGCCCTGGTATAGGTCTAGACAATCCCCCTCTCTCTCTCTCTCTCTCTCTCTCTCTCTCTCTCTCTCTCTCTCTTGTGTGTGTGTGTGTGTGTGTGTGTGTGTGTGTGTGTGCATCTCTCTGACAATCCACCACTCTCTCTCAACATCTGTCCATAACAATCCACCACTCTCTCAATATCTCTCTGACAACCCACCACTCTCTCTCTCTCTCAACATCTGTCCATTATATGACTGACTGATCAGTAGATGTGACAGTTCAGGCAGCCTCAGAAAAAGGTGGATGCTGTGGTTATCAGTGGTAAAGCTGAGTGGTATGGCCAGCTGACCCTGTGGTTTAAACTTCACAGAATCAAGGGCAATAAATAGCAAAGCAAAAGCCGTTAACCACTCAGTAGAGTGTGGCAACATGGCCTCAAGGAATTACAGAAAAAAGATATGCAGTTTACAGATTGGATGAGAATGGAAGCCACAGAACCTCAAACAACTGAGTGGCCAGAGGTCTGTGATAAGGAGCTTGCTCAGCATGTGTGTGGCTGTGGGTTCAGCCTCCAACACTGAAAAAAAAAATTAAAAAACAGAAAAATAAAAATGAGAAAACCAACTCCACATAGGAATATCTTGACAGATTGAAATTACAAAATAGAAAGAGTTGCTGTAATTAGTCTCTCAAACGAAGTTACTAGAAACATTGAGTCCATGTGAGAAGGAAGGAGGAGAATTTTTGCATTTTTTTAAAAACTCCAATGTACCCAGGCAGTGGTGGTGCACACCTTTAATCCCAGCACTGGGGTGGCAGAGGCAGGTGGATCTGTGAGTTCAAGGCCAGTCTGTCTCTAGAGCTAGTTCTAAGACAGTCAGAGCTGTTACACAGAGAAACTCTGAATTGAAAAACCAAAAAAAAAAAAAAAAAAAAAAAAAACCAACTCCAATGTAATGTTATTCATTTAGGTTTTGTGTATATCCATGTCTGTGTGTGCATGTGTGTGTGTCATGATCAAGAGGTCAACCTTGGGTATTGTTCCTCAGGAGTCACCCACCCTTATATTTAGTTTTGCTTTGTGTGTATGGATTTCTGGGGGTGATTTATGTATGTAGAGGCTACACGAAGACAGTAGGTGTTATGCCTTATCATTCTCTGCCTTGTTCCCTTGAGGAATAGTCTCTAATTGGATGGAGAGCTAGGCTGGTAGCCAGTAAACTCCAGTGCCCCATTGCTGGGTTACAAGCATGTACAGACATACTTGGCTTTTTACATGGATGCTTGGGATTTAACTCAGGTCCTCATGCTTGTACAGAGATTGCTTTACTTGCTGAGCTATCTTCCCAGCTTTTTTAAGACAAGCTTTCTCACAGGGATATGGGATCATCCTATATGCTAGTCTGGGTGGCCAGCAAGCTACAGGGATCTACCTGTCCCCATCTTCCCAATGCTGGGGTTTCAAGCATACACCATGACTCCCAGCTTTATAACATGGATGCTGGGGATCAAATCGGGTCCTCACTTTACTGACTGGGCTCTTTCCCAAGTTCCTGATTTAGGTTTTTATTTTGGAGAAAAATAACATTGAAATAAAAAGTGGGAGAAAGGAAATAAGCCAAGCAAACAAACTTATGTAAATGAGGAAACACACATAGCTAATTAAAAGAGGCAAGAGAACCATATCTGGATGGTTCAACCCATATACCTCAAGGTTGAGGAAGACAGGTTAGTATACACAGTCAGTATACACAGAGAAATAGAATGCAGGGAAGGCAAAGAGGTACATGAAAAGTCTACTGGGAGGTATCTATGTAGGTACACACACACACACACACACACACACACACACACACACACATATGTATATAATAGCAAATGGAGAAGTTGGACCTGTTGTGCAATGTTAATGAGGATGTAAAATGTTACAGCTCTTTGGAAAATGATTTGGCAGCTCCTCAGAAGGTAAAATGTAGAGTTGCCATATAATGTAGCAATTGTGTTCTAAGAGAACTGAAGACATATCCACACAAAGATTTCTACACATCTACATGGTTCACAATAGTCCCAAAGTGGAAACAACCCAAAAGCCTACCAGCTGATTTACAGATAAACAATAAGGTCTGCCCATACAATGGGGATGGTATACTGTCATAAAAAGGAATAAAGTTTTAATTCATGCTGCACGCTAGATGGACCTTGAAAACATTCTACTAAATGAAAGGAGCTAGACACCAAAGGCCACAATGATTCCATGGCCAGGAAATATGCAGAACATAAAGGATGCCAGGGACTACAGGAGGGGGCCAGGGAGTGACTGATGACTGGCACTTGGTGACTTCCTGGAACCATGGAAAAATTTCAAGAATTAGATAACAATGAGGGTTGCATAACCTCGTGGAGGTATAAAAAGCACTGATTTGTACACTTTAAGATGGCCAGTTTTATGGTACATCTGGGTTGCAATAACAATGGAAGCATATAAAACCGGTTAATAAGAAGTTGGTTCCAGGCTGGAGAGATGGCTCAGAGGTTGAGATCATTGGCTGGTCTTTCAGAGGTCCCAAGTTCAATTCCCAGCAACCACATGATGGCTCACAACCATCTGTAATAAGATGTGGTGCCCTCTTCTGGCGTGCAGGCATACAGTCAGACAGAACATTGCATATGTAATAAATAAATAAATCTAAGAAGAAAAGGAAGAGAAAGAGGAAGAAGAAGAGGAAGAAGAAGAAGAAGAAGAAGAAGAAGAAGAAGAAGAAGAAGAAGAAGAAGAAGAAGAAGAAGAAGAAGATATTGTTGTTGGTTTTTCCAGTATTTGGGAGGCTGAGGCAGGAGGATTGTAAATTTGAAGTGAGATTCCATACATAAAGTAGACACAATCCAGGAAGATGCATGACGTCAGCCTCTGGCCTGCACTTGCACAATCTTCCAACTAAGAAGCTCTGAGCTCTGTGAAAGGCTTGTTCTAAATATATCCATATTTAAAATGTGTGGGTCTAGAAAGGTAGCTCAGCAGTTAAGAGCATTGTCTGCTCTTCCAGAGGACCTGAGTTTGATTCCCAGCACCCACATGATGGCTCACAACTCTATGTAACTCCAGAACTCTTCTAGCTTCCACAGGTAAGGAATGCACATGGTATACAGACATGCATGGGGACAGAACACCTTTACTTCCCTTACATATAAACAAAAAGGTTAATTTTTAAAATTAATCATTATAGTGTATGTGTGCATGATTGGGACGTGTGTGTGAACATGAGTGCCGTGGAGGTCAGAGGACAATCTATGAAGTCAGCTTCCTCTTTCCATCTTACACGGGTTACACAGATCAAACTCAGGTTACACAAAAAGGCACCTCTACTCATTAAACCATCTCATCAGTGCCCTGAACATAATCCAGAGGACAGAAAAAGAGGAAATAATCCCTACTCATTTAATGTGACAATGTAACTTTATTAGTATGCTAGACAGACAAGACAAGAAAGAGATATTACAGCTGAATTTTAATCATGTACATAAATATATATTGGCATTAGACTGGTGAGATATCTCACCAGGTAAAGGCACCTGCCACTGAGCCTGACAACCCAAGTTCGATCCCAAGAGATGACTCCTAGAAGTTTTCCTCTGATATCCACAGGTGCGTGGTGGCATGGGTGTGTTCATGCACCTCTTTAAGGCATGCTATGACATAGTTCTAAAGTATGTCCACAGGACTTATGCAGCAGTCATATTTAGGTTACTTTGATAACCCTGAAAAGAAACCATGTTTCCCTAGAGCCAACCCCATACAGATGTTTCATGTTTTCCCTTGTCTCAGCTCTTGGCAACCACGAAGCCTTCTGTTGCAGCATTTGTCTATTGTGGACATTTCATGTACAGAGGATGATCCATTACCTGGCCTTTATCGTTTTGTTATGTTGTTGGACTTTTAAAATAGCTTAGGAACCCAAAGCTCTTCCTCACCAGCCACAGTGAGCCAGAGAATGTAAAAGAAAACAAGATAACAGCTCAAAGTAGCAGCAGGGCTCTACAATGTCTTATTTTATATATATAAAGAGAAAATAATTGAACTATTAAAGAATATAAAGAATGTGAATAAACAGGTATCTCGTAATCTTGAAAAGAATAAGCTGATATTATGAACATACCAGTTCTCCACCCATTCACAATTTATCTCAAATTTAATACAATTCCAGACAGAAGTCTGGTACAATTCTTGAAGGAGACTCTACACATGACTTCTATACTTTGTATGGAAGACTCAAATCTCACGAACTGATGAGATAGTTTTTCCTTGCCAAGTAATTAAGATACATTACAAAGTGAAATAATTAAAATAACATCATCCTAGCTTACAAACAAACAAAAAACAAAATCAAGAATAGACCCAGTTTCATGAAACAACTGATGCCTTGGAAAGGAGTTTGATAAGTATTTTGAATCTCCACTGATGTAATAAGCCAAATTAATAAGACCAAGTTTAATAAACAGAGCAAAGCAACTTCCAAGTGACTTGAGAAAGGCAGGAGAGAACTCACTTGGCAGGTCTAGGGACAGTGTCTTAAATACTCTGTAGGCAGTAGGCTTGGTTTTGAACTTTGGGGCAGGAGCTGTCTCTTGGTGGGCTTTCTGAGAAGGGGTCAGGTTTGGAATGGGGGAGAGTGAGGCTGAAGTAGGGTTCTTAGCTAAACAGAGTCGTAAATTACTAGAAAAAGCATGAATTGTTTCATAAATTATGCTGAGAAAAAATGAATTCAACTTAAGTAGAGCTGAACATGATGGCGCACACCTTTGATCTCAGTACTCTGAAGGTAGAAGCAGATGGGTCTCTGAGTTCAGGTCAGCTAAGAACACATATAGTGAGACTGTCTCACAAAAAAAGTAAAGCAAAAAGAAACCCAAACAAATCAATGTAAGTGGAAAAATACGATTGATTTCTTACCTCACATTAGATAATGAGTAAATTCCCAGTGGGCCAAAGCTCTCTCTGGGCTATTGATACAGTACTACAACATTAGTAAGTAAAAAAAGGGAGAAATGTCTCATGCTGATAGAGTAGGAAATGATCCTTAAGACCCTGAAAAGCACAGGGTGGTGGCACACACCTGTAATCTCAGCACTTGGGAGGCAGAGGCTGGTGAGCCTGGTCTGCAGAGTGAGTTCCAGGACAACCAGAGCTACACAGACAAACCCTGTTTTGGAGAGAGAGGGAGAGAGAGAAAGAGAGAGAGAGAGAGAGAGAGAGAGAGAGAGAGAGAGAGAGAGAGAGAGAGAAGCAAAAACCAAAAGAAGAGAAATACTTAGGTCAACCTCATCAAAGTTAAATATTTGGGTCTAAAAACAAAACAAAAAAATCATTAAAAACAAAACAAAAAACCCAAATAAATAGAAAAACAAAATTGGTAGGAAGGTAGTAACAAAAAATAGCAACATCTAAAACCAACAATTTTATCAAATATATACAACTTTCTATGGAAAAGTTTGAATTCCGAAGAATAAAGAAAACAAAGGTTACAGAAATAGACATCACAGAAGCAGGAACCCAAGTTGTTAATACAGATATAAAGAGACATTTGTGTCTATGAGTGCTTAGGGAAATCCAAATTAAAATAATAATGATATCATGTCGAGCTGGGATGTGGAGAAACTGGGGCAGTCAATCATGTGGTGCCTAGGGGATTGCAAACCAACATTGTTCAGAATAGTAATCTGCTCAAACTTTGCATAGTCAGAGAGGCAGTCTGGCCATGCTTCTCCTGGGTTACACAATAAAAAATGTCCTAGATAAAAAACCACAGGAAATGTGTGCAAAGACATTTATGTTTTCACAATTGGAGAAAGCAAGCATGGAGAGGTATGTCATTTACTTTTCTGTATCTACCAGAAATGGCTTAAGGGTGGGAAGATTTATTAACTTCATGGCTTCAACCTATCATGGGGGAGTGGACCTGATGGGGCAGCTCAACTCATGGCATCGAGAGTGGTAGAGTCTGTTCATATCCCGGTGAACCCAGAAGTAGAGGAGGGAGGATTCTTCAAAGGTCTGTCCCTGGTGGCCTCCTGTTCCTGGTGGCCTCCTTCTGCTAGCTTGTCCTCACTTTCTTAAAGGTTCCACAGCCTCCAGAAACTGTGCCACCAGCAGGGACAAAGTGTTCAACAACAGCAACAAAGAGAGCCTGTGGGGACATTCAAATTCAAGCCACACCAGGAGACAATTTACATGACCCAACCTGGGAGGACATTTAGGCAAATGTATTTCTATGCATCTTATCTCTTAGCACAAACTCAGGTGTTCTCTAAGGGGCTCATGATGAGTAAAGACACACCTACTATTGGAAGTCCAAGATTCTACAACAGTGGTTCTCACCCTTCCTAATCCTGGGACCCTTTAATAAAGTTCCTCATGTTGTGGTGACCCCCAACCATGAAATTATTTTCATTGCTACTTCATAACTGTAATTTTGCTACTGTTATGAATTGTAATATAAATATTTGTCTTAGGTGACCTCTGTGAAAGGGTCATTTGACCCCCAAAGGGGTTGTGACCTGCAAGCTGAGAACTGCCAGGGAGTCTTTTCCAGAAACCAGGGACAAAGCTCAAATTGTCTGGGTTTTTTGGACAACGTACAAAGAAATAAAACAAACAAAAAAATAAATAAAAGTAACTAGGTCTAGTGATATAATCCAGTGGTGAAATATATGACAAAACACTTAATTCAATCCACAAAACTGGGGGGGGGGTGTGCATGTTAAATGGATGTGTAAGCACGGCTCACAGAACACAAGTTCTTATTTGGTGTTATTAAAATAATAAAATGGTAGAAAATCAATGTTAGTGAAGGCATTCGCCAATATAATGAACTAGTTCAGAACATTTGCATAAGCTCTGTCCTAAAACTTGCTTTTATTGGCTGTTTAGAAACCCATTTTTCTTAAAAACAGACAACAAACAAATAATGCTACCCAACGGTTATTAGTTTGCAGTTAAGTTTATAACATTTCAGTAGCCATAATGACCCAGGGATAATGACAACTGGTATTTATTGAACTGGAATTCTATCATAGTCAATAGTACTCCTGGTCCTGGGAATGACTAAGGATTCTGTGATTGAAAATGGAAAAGGAGCCAGGCATTGGTGGCACACGCCTTTAATCCCAGCACTCAGGAGGCAGAGGCAGGCAGATCTCTGAGTTTGAGGCCAACCTGGTCTACAGAGTTCCAAGACAGACTCCAAAGCAATACAGAGAAGCCCTGACTTGAAAAAAAAGAAAGAAAGAAAGAAAGAAAGAAAGAAAGAAAGAAAGAAAGAAAGAAAGAAAGAAAGAAAGAAAGAAAATGGAAGAGGAAATCTGGGGGTGGTGCTCAGTGATAGAGTTTTTCCAGCTTTTGTGAAGTCCTGAGTTTAATTCTACACACACACACACACACACACACTCGAACACATGTGCTCACAAGCACATGCATGCACATACACACACATGCATGCTCACACATACACAGTGAGAGATCAAAGAAAGAAGATGCAGAACTTGAGTGAGAAGTAACATTGAAGAGATTGTCACCTCTAGAAACTTAGTGACATATAAGGAAATAGTCATTGCTCTCCTGGATGAATATCCTGGGGGTGGGAATAGCCTTAGAACTTCATGACAAATAACAGTAAGTAAGTGAAGATGCTTAATATAATCTGTAGCATTGATAAACTGCTCAATAAATACAAAGAAAATAAGGCAGGATGTGGCCAATAGTAGTGAAAATAATGTAGGTTTTGACACAAAATAGGATAAATCTAGAAATAAAGCATTTGACCCAGTTATTTAGGGGTGATAAAAAGAGGGCTGTTGTTTGATCCAGTGCTCAAACTCTGCTAGTAGGAAAGCATAGCCTGGAACGTAGTATAACTAAATAAAACTTCACTGAACAAAAGTACTACAAATAAAATAGACATGGTTTACACTACCTTGGCATATCTGTGGAAGCTTGCATCTCATCATTGACTCTCATTTACTCAGTGTCCAATGCCAAACGTGCTGGGCAGAGAACACAGGATGAGGCACAAATGGCTCCTGCATGCATGTAACAGCCTAGGTGAAAATGATTCCCCTATAAGCTGAAGGTTGCCGAGGCCTCTCTCTAGTGTTGCCTAAATGCATTATGGTGTAAGTAATCTCAGATGGACAATGCTAGAAACTGTGTGTGGGAAGGACTTAGCAGATGGGTGAGTTGCATTTCAGAGAGAGAAAATGGAAACATCCATTCTATATATGAGTTGAATCACCCTAGTGCCAAGTTAAAAGCTGGGCCTTTGTCAACTGTCTTTCTTCCAGAGTGTGTGCACTGTATTTAAGTTGAGATCTTCTAACTCCTAGGCAACAGTGATAAGCAGTAGTTACGTAGAACAAGGTCCCCATTTAAGGTACCTGGTTGCTTGCTTGAAAATGAAATAAGAGCTCACTCATTCCCAGATCCCACCTAAGGTGAAGTAAAAAGATATGGGCTCCCTCCAGAAGGGGATATTCCGACTTCACTAAAGATCTTTGTTAAGTCCCTAAACATTGCTAACAATGATGAAGGACAACAGTCAATGCATTTAGAATTCTCATTGTAAAGATTGCTACTGGATTTTTATAACCACTATTTATTGTCACTGCCTAGGCTACCCTTTTCCCACTGCTCCTCCCGTGGACCCATTTGCCAAAATCAAAGTGGAAGACTGCGGAAGAACTAAAGGATGCTTTAGGTAGGTATAGCTGGGAGTCTGGTACTGAAGGCTCAGAAGTGTACTGACTTCTCAAGGGAGTGTTTAAATTTTCATGCATTGCTATGTGGGCATGTAGGTCTTTCCCCCTTTGTAACTTCAGCAAGGTTATGGAGGATTCAAATAAGAAACCCTGTATTCAGGGTTTTGTTGTTTGTTGATACTGGGACTTGCTGGCCTTTAATTCTGGATGTCTTCTCGGGGTTCCTCCCTAATGCTGGCGTGACAAGTATGCACCACTATTCGTGGCTAGTGTTCAGTTTGGGCATTTCCTTCTTTGAATACACTGTCCTAGTCACTTTCTATCACTGTGATAAAGACATAAAGGTTTATGTCACAGTCTACCATTGAGAGAGGCCAATGCAGGAACTTAAGCAGGGCAGGAACCTGGACACAGGAACTGAAGCAGAGGCCATGGAGGGGTGCTGTTCCCTGGCTTGCTCTCATGACTTGCTCGGCCTGCTTTCTTATACCACCCAGGGCTTGTTAGTATTCAGGCATCTATACTGTCCTGTCCTTGGGGTTCTGACAGGATACGCCCTCAGCTGAAGCCATTAAGAGCACCACCTGTGCACATTCACTATGTTTCCTTTTAAAAGGTCCCTGCCCACCTCCCATATCTATCTCTGTCTCTCTCTTTCTGCTTCTTTGACTGTCTCTCTGTCCCCCCCTTCTCTTCTGCTGCTTCTGTCCCCAGAGGCCAGTCTCCCACCTTCCTTCCCCTTTTTTTCTATTCCCTTTCCCCTAATTAAAACAAAACAAAACAAAACAAAAAAAACCTCCACATGAGCTCTGTCACATAGCATCTTTCTCTTTCCCACTGATTTTTAAATTACAACACTGGTACCACACAAAGTGAGCTGCACCCTCCCAATCAGTTGTTATATCAAGACAATGCCCTACTGACTTGCCTGTTGGCAATCTGATGGAGGCATTTTCTCAATTGAGGTTTCTCTTCCCAGGTGACTCTAGCTTGTGTCAAAGTGGCAAAAATAGAACCAGGACAGGCAGGTTCTCCTATATCCCAGACTGGCCTTAAATTTGTTATGCAAACAAGGTTGACCTTGAATTTCTGGTCCTCCTGCATTTACCTCCCAAGTTCTGGATTCACAGGTGTATGCCTAGTTTCTGTGGTGCTGAGGACCGAACCCAGGACTTTGTGCATAATGGGTAAGCATGCTACTTACTGACCTACGGTCCCAGCCTCAACAATTCCTTTTCAAATAAATAGTCATGACTTGTGGATTCTGCATGATGTTAAGCACTGATTATTGTAGCTTATTAGTTTACATGAGTCTCTATGATTACTCGTAGCATTTCCATCAAGACAAAGATAGATTCCAGATTAACATGATGGCAGGCAGATACCTGTAATCTCCCCCTCAGATGGCTGCAGCAAAAGGATCACAGGTTTCAGGCCAATTTAGTAAAACAAAAACAAAACCTTGTCTCAAAGAAAAGAAGACAGATAGAGGGAGAGATGAAGACAGAGTGAGGGAGAAAATTAGAAGGAATGAATGAGAACTGGTTTGGTAGAAACTTCCCAAATAGCGGTTCTGGTGAACATGGTGTAATTTTAAAAAGTGGAGCACAAGAGTTTTTGTTGTTTGTGGGGGGGAAGGGGAAGGGGAAAAAGGGGGGGGGGGGGGTGAGGTAGACCTGCTTCTGGGGACAAGAGTGGCAGAAGAGAAGAGAGAGGGGGGAGAAAGAAGAAGAGACAGAGAAGGAGGGAGGGAAGGAGAGAGAGAGAGAGAGGGGAGAGAGGGGAGAGGGGAGAGGGGGAGGGAGAAGAGAAAAATCAAGAGAAAGAGAGAGAGAGAAGAGGAGGAGGAGGAGGAGGTGGGCAGGGCCCTTTTAAAAGGGAACATGCTGAATATGCACAGGTGGTGCTCTTATGGCTGCAGCTGAGGGCATATCCTGTCAGAACCCCAAGGACAGGCCAGTACAGATGCCCAAATACTAACACATGGCACTAAAGGTGCTGATATTGTTGACTGTTCAGGGCTCAAGGTTTAAGGGGCCAAACACTGACTACTACAGGGGCTTCAAGCTTTATTGGCTTACAAGTCTTTTTTCAAACACTTTAAAAATTTCAATACTGTTATCATTGAGCAAACAGGTCAGCACTATTTAATTCTGGTAGTGGTGAGATATATATTGAGAAAAGTAGAGATTTTACTAACCTGCTGGCCTAGAGTGGCTTATCTTTCAGACTATCCTGCTCCTTTTAAAACCATTTTTTATTTTAAAACAATCTTTTCTCGTTTTATGTACCAATCCCAGTTCCCCCTCCGCCCTCCTGCTCCCCCAACTTCTCTGCTCTTTTTATCCCCCCCCCACCCTTTCATTTGTTTTGCCCAAGTTCCAGGTTGCCTTCACCGTCTCTTCCCTGCTACTCGGGGTGTCCCCACTGATACGTTGGCATGATCTTGTCTCCTTCCTCATTCACACTTCAGCAACTGGGTCTCATTTTTTTTTAAGATTTATTTTTTTATTATGTATACAGTATTCTGGTTGGATGTATCTCTGCAGGCCAGAGGAGGGCACCAGATCTCATTATAGATGGCTGTGAGCCACCATGTGGTTGCAGGGAATTGAACTCAGAACCTCTGAAAGAGCAGGCAATGCTCTTAAGCTCTGAGCCATCTCTGCATCTCTGCTTTTATCTTCTTACCCACTGAGTTTCCTTCTCTTACCTTTCTTTTGCTTCCCTTTCCTCTTCCTCCCCCTTCCTTTCCCATTCTTTCTCTTATCCCTAGGATTATGTACATTACAAACACTTACTTTACCAGTGAGACACATCCCACTGCAACATTTCGTACCATTCTGACAATAGTAGAATAAAGTGTTCCTTAACTAGGCGGTCTCCGATCACTGAAGGATCCATAAGTCATTTGTAAGGTTTTGTTGTTGTTACATCTTAAGTTGTTTTGTGCGCATGCCTTTTTGTGTATGCATAAGCACATATGGACATATGCACATGTAAGTGAATGCACTTGTGCCATGTGGAGGTTCACAAGACAACTTGCTGGAGTCTTTTCTCTCCTAGCACGTGAGTTTCAGGGAGCAAACTCAGGTCAGCATGCTTGGTGGCAGTTCTTACCTACTGAGCCATCTCACTTGTTCCTCGGCAAGAAATTTGAAATTTCTGTTTTCTGCTTGGAGCTTCTCTTTAAAAAGATGAATATGTACTTAATCTTCCTATCTAGACAAAGACCTTATACTGTCATGTTTTCGTGTCTGCCTTTGTTATTGTAGTTACACCAAGTAAATTTTATAAATCACATACTTGCGTTCAGTGGATACTGGGTGAGGTTTTCACATGATGCATTTGTACAAGTGTGGCTTTTGCAACAGACCAAGAGATTAAGTTGCAGAAGTTGGGCCATCACTCCATGCCAATAATAAGGATGTGCTCAACTTGAAAGACCCTACGGTATAATCAGACACACAACTGCACCACCACAGGAAAGCACTTCCTGGAAAGTTGCACCATTTGTCATTACACAATTGCTATGAATTTCAGGATTTCTGTTTTTATTTCTAAGCCTATGACTTTTTAACTATGAAAAGTTACAAGGAGAAATAGTCGTTATACATTTTAATTAAGAAAAAACGGACAAATTTTTATCTTGAAGAACAGACCCAGTTGAAGGCCTGTTTCAGGCACTGACTTTATTATGCAAACTGGTTGAGCCCCTTCCCCTCCCTCTCTGGACTTAAGTTTACATATAAAGTGGAGCCGCTCCCATCCATGGTCCCTCCTTTCTGAGATCTTGGGAAGCAACAATCTAATGTAGTTAATAGCATTGCTCAGTGTCCTTGGGTTGCACAGTAGGTGATCTCTTTTCTTTATTTGAATTACATAGAAGTAATAATGTCTCTTTTGCATATCCTCCAGATACGGCAAGCCAGGCTGTAATGCAGAGACCTGTGACTACTTCCTTAGCTACCGGATGATAGGGGCTGATGTGGAGTTCGAGCTGAGTGCAGACACGGATGGTTGGGTAGCCGTTGGATTCTCTTCAGACAAAAAGATGGTAAGACACAAATCATGACAGAAGCTGCTTTTTCTCTTTGCTTTGTTATTTAGATTTTGGAAGCAAATGAATTAATCAAAGAAGCATTGGGTTAGTCACAGCTCTCTAATAGCAAGTTTAAAAAGATTCAGAGGCTGGAGAGTTGGCTCAGTAGGTAAGAGCACATACTGCTCTTGTAGAAGACTGAGGTTTGGTTGCCAGCACCTACATCAAACAGCTCACAACTGCTTGTAATCCAGTTCCAGGGGATTTGATACCCTCTGGCCTCTGTAGGCACCTGCACACAATGCACAGAGTGCATATGCCATATAAACTCATCCAGGTACACCACACATAAGTATACACATAAATAAAAATAAGTAAATCTTTTTTTTAATTCAAGCAAGCTTTAGTGGAAAGACTGGTTATTAAAATACAGAGTGTCTTGTGCTACATGTAGTGATCAGCTCTGTCCACATAATGCTGCAAACTACATGTCTTATGCTAATTGTTGTATGTCTCTTGCTCACACCTGTGTGGGTTGACTGGGCTTCAGCTTATTTTCTGTGGGCTCAGCTGGGCTTGGCTGTAGTCCCTGGGTTGGGTTTGATTCCCTGTGTGTGCTTTAGTCAGTCTGGAAGGGGCAGCTACAAGGCCTGTTCTCCTTATAGCAGAGGGAGCAGTGAAGAACCATTGTAAGAGATTCAGAGTGTTTTTCCTTTATGCTCACACACTCAACACAGAACAAGTCTGAGACCAGATAGTTCTCTCTCCTCTACCCACCTCCAGTCTATGTGGAGAGAGTGTCAGATGTCACAAAGTGAGGGTTTAGTTCAAGACTGCTCCATTGTAGATGCCAACTTCCAGTCCCAGGTTGTGATCTGATGAGTCATCAGAGTCCCTGTGACTTCCTGTTGAGTTTTGTTAATTTGCAGAACTCGAGTGAAGACTTTTTTTTTTTTTTTGCATTTGCCCATTGTGTTAATCAGCTTCACATTACTACTAATAACTCATTTTCAAAAGGCTAAAGGCAGAGGATATAGCTCAGCATTGGAGAACTTGCTAAGCTTAGTATGCACACAGCCCTGGATTCCATCCCCCAACATGGCCCCCAAGTGAATAAATAAGCAAAAACAAACTGGTAAACAGACAGATACTCAACAGCAACAACACCAAGGTTTATTCCCACTCTGATTTCAGAGGTTTCCATCCATGCTTGCTTGGCCCCATTGCTTTGGGCCAGTACTAAGAAAGTAGGTTGTGATAGGAAGTCTATGGGAAAAGAAACCTTCTAACCTTGAGGTGGAGAGGGACCACAGTGTCAGTATCTGTTTCTAGGAGCATACCACCAACTATCTAACTTACGTCCACCAGGCCCCATCCCTTACGTTTCCCACTCTTCTCCAAAAGTGCCATAGACCTTTAACACAAAGGCCTTAGAGAAACATTTGAGATCCAAATTCCACCTATTTATAGTACTGGATGTTAAAAAATGTGTAAGGAGGTGTGGAGGAGTGAGGGAAGAGCTTCCATGCCTACTTAGGGTATACGACCCTCCAAGCTCCTCTCAGTAATTAGCCGTCAAGAAGAGCATAAAACTCTCTCTCTCTCTCTCTCTCTCTCTGTGTGTGTGTGTGTGTGTGTGTGTGTGTGTGTGTGTGTGTGGTTGTACGTGTACATGTGAATGTGTGCATGCATGTGTGTTCACTTAAGTGTGGCAGTCAAGGACACCTTCCACCTTTCATCTGAGCTGGTCTCTCAGTGGCCTGGAGCTTCAGCAAGTAGAGCAGGCTGGCTGGCCAGTGAGCTTCAAGGACCCTCCTATCTCTGTGTCCATCTCATCATTGCTGGGATTACAGACATACTCAAACACACCTGGCTTTTTACATGGGTTGTGGGGATCCAAACTTAGGTTCTCATGATTGCAAAGCAAGCATTTACCAAGTCTGTCATGTCCCCAACCCTTCTTTTGGATTTTTAAAAAGATTTTTTTAAAATCGTTTGTGTGTATGCATGTGTGTATACAAGCTTTGTGTGTATACAAGCGCTCATTTGAGTGTGTGCAGCAGCAGTGGCCATAGTAAGAAGGGCTCAGTTCCAGGGTGTTTTGAAGGCATCACTTGGGGATGGAGAGAATGCTCCGTGGTTCACAGTGCTTGCTGTACTTCCAGAGGACGTGAATTTGGTTCTCAGCACCCATGTCAGGTGACTGATGACCTCCTTTAATTCTAGCTCCAGGGGATTGGATGCCCCTTCTGGCCTCCATGGGTAGGTACCTGCATGCACCTGGAATAACACACACAGACATACACACACAGATACACACACACACACACACACACACACACACACACACACAGAGTTATAATGGTAACAGACTAACCCCCCCCCCTGAAACTAAGCCAGTGGCACTAATGCCCCTGACATACAAGCTGCCCACACTGTACATGATGGAGGACTATTTTTCCATGGACGCCTGGGAAGCAAAGCCTGAAGTCTCTAACTGGTGACACCTCAGGATGTGCAGTGCCTGCACAGGAGCCCTGGGGTTTCTCTTACTCTCCCTGTCATGGATTCACTTTGGGTTTTCTCTTCCTGTGGTGCTGAGCAGCTGTGGGGTCCAAAGGAGCAGCTGCTGATATCAGCCTGCAATTCTTCTGGTGGCCAATGTGTGGGGCTGTGCTGAGGGGTGCTTCAGGCTGACCCCAGGCCCTGGCCTGTCAATCAACCCAATAAAGGGGTATCCCGATAAAGGAAAAAACAGGAAAAGGAAGAAGAAAAAGAATATGATTTCAAGACCATAGTGAGATTGCATAGTGAGACCCTGTCTGAAAATAAGGAAGGAAAGAAAGAGGGAAGGAAGAAAGGAAGGGAGGGAGGGAGGGAGGAAGGAAGGAAGGAAGGGAAGAAGGGAGGGAGGAAGGGAACCGTGGGCTGGTTTAAAGCTCAGATAACAGAGGCAGACTAGGGAGCCTTTCAAATATCACTGTAATATCTATAAAGGCCCCTTCTTTCCTCTCTCCTCTCTCCACTGAAGCATGGATTAAAATTAAAAAACAAAAATTTGATGATGTGATGTATACTAAGAGAAATGTAGATTCCCTTCTTAATAACCTTGAATTTTTATGGAATGGTTTTCAAATTAGATTTAATTTTTTTTTAACAGCAACTTTGGGTTCCTGTCTAAATGGCATGCCTCATAGTCTCCAGGCATTGCCTCCCCCATTATCCACAGCCCCCACCAAACAGTACAATCAGCCAGTCTTTAATGTTTTTAACTTGTTCTAAGAAGATAATTAAATCTACAGGTAAACTATAGAGATTGTTCCAAACTCCTCTCTCTTACCCCATCTCTCTATCTCTATATCTTATACCAGATGCAATGGATAGCCTTTTTATTACAGTGGTGTACACCTAAAATGTAGCATGTTGCCTTATTTTCCAGTGTATAATTCAGTGGCATCAATCACAATCGCTGCTGTGAAGTCACCACTGTTTCCTAGTTCCAGAACATCTTCTCAAGAGACATTTTTTAATCATTTTTTTATTTGAATTAAAAACAAGATTGATTTACATGACAATCCCAATTCCCTTCTCCCTCCCTTCCTCCCCTACCACCCCCCCAACTAAAACCCTACCTATCACATACCCTTTCTTCTATTCTTCCCCTGACTCAACCTTTCTGCTCCCTCATGACCTCTGCATCCTTCCTCTTCTTCCCTTCTCATTCTTATAGCTCCCTCTCCCCTCTTCCCGTGCTCTCGATTTGCTCAGGGGATCGTGACCCTATCCCCTTCTCCAGGGGACAATGTTTGTCAAGTGACATTTTTTTGTCTGTGTGTTGTTCTCTACCAGTGCTGCTTCTAGTGATTAACTAATTAGTGATTAACTAATTATGACTAATATTTTCTAGAAACTTCAAGGGTATATCACAGATATCATGACCTTTTAACCTGAAATATTTAAGAGGTTTCTCTTAAATTTAGATCGAGGACCTCATCTTTCATTAAATGGTCTACTTATTAAATTTAGTATTGCCAAATATATTCTTTCCAAACATCATTAATTAGCATAGTTCTGCCTAGAAATGTTGCATTTAGTGGTCATGTGACTTCAGTTTTCTTCACTTTGTAGTAGCTTCTGGGCCTTTTAAATTAATGTGTGGATTAGCTAATTACTTTAGGAAATTTTCCATGACTGTAGCTTTGTTTTGTTAGAATGAGTTTCAAGATGGACTTGCCTGGTTGTACTCATCAGGCTACTTTACGTGGTTTTGTACAGAATGCATCCTCCAACTGTCTCTGCAGAAAGTCCCCAAATATCAGTCATGATGCTGACTTTGTCACTTATTTAAGAGTTTTTTTTTAAAGGATTTTAAAGATTGCATGTATATATTTGTTTGTGAGGGAGGTATGCATGCCATGGTGCCCTCGTGGAGGTCAGAGGAAAACTTGCAGAAGTTAGCTCTCTCCTACCAGGTGGGTCCCAGGGATTGAACTCAGGTGACTCTGCTTGTTGGCAAGCACCTTGCCTTTACTGACTGAGCCACCTCACTTGCCTGGTTGACTGATTTTTAAATGGTATTTAAAGTAACCTTTATGGTATTTCTAATTACAGAGGCTATGGGATATATATTTTTGAGTGAAAAGTTGTGAGTGAAGACAAACATTTAACATTTTTCTTCTCAACCTTTTTCTCTGCTAGGGTGGTGATGATGTCATGGCCTGTGTCCATGATGACAATGGCAGAGTCCGAATTCAGCACTTCTACAATGTGGGACAGTGGGCAAAGGAGGTTCAGAGAAATCCTGCCAGAGACGAAGAAGGAGTTTTTGAGAACAATCGTGTCACCTGCAGGTTTAAGCGGCCTGTCAATGTTCCCAGGGATGAAACAATTGTGGACCTGCACTTGAGTTGGTATTACCTGTTTGCTTGGGGTCCAGCCATTCAGGGTAAGCCTATGCACTGAACACCGGTCACCACTGTGTTCATGTTCATTTTTTTTTTAAGAATTTTTTTTAATAAAGATTTTATTTGTCTTCTGCCTGCATGCCAGGCAGAAGGGCACCAGGTCTCATTCAAGGTGGTTGTGAGCCACCATGTGGTTGCTGAGAATTGAACTCAGGACCCAGAGGTGCTCTTAACAGTCAGTGCTCTTAACCGCTGAGCCATCTCTCCAGTCCCCAACTCATGATCATTGTTAAGTGGAGTCACACTGCATGTGCACAAGAGTCGAAAGCACTCTGTACTCTGCAAGGAAAAGGAACTATGAGGCCTTCCTTCAGAAGGTTCTAAAGAACTTACCGTGTGGGGGGACACATGACAGAGTGTACACATGCATTGGTAGAGTATGTGAGACAACATACATGGGTGTGCATTTCATGAAGCAATCGCATGTCTGCTGTGGAGTGCAGATGTTTGTATCAGCTCCTCACCCCTTCCTGCAGAGGTCTACATATCATCACCCTCGTGTTTACAGAGAATAAGAAACTTGCTCATGGTAGACAACTAGTTAATGGTAGAAATAAAACTCAATTCTGAGTCTTCCAGATCTAAAGTCAGTGAAGTCTTTTAAACCATCATCATTTTTAATAAGGAAATAACAAAAAGGAAAGGGTCTCTAGAGATTTCTCTAGAGCTTGACAAGCATTAATTCTTACTATATAACTATTCCCATGGTCACAAATCAATCAAAATACCCTATATTTTAGCCCATTAATCCTCAATTATTAAGGTGCATAATAATCCCCCAAATATATTGGTAAATGAAGTCTTCTGCTTGTTAGAGGAAGGGCCCGAGATTCTGTATTTCTAACAAGTTCCCTGACAATGCTGGGCTGTGGATGGTGTCACTTCCTGAGGCAAAGCTCTCCAGTAGTTTCCTACCAAAAACCCAAGGGCATAAAAGAGACCTTTTAGAGGTTGCCCAAATCAAGTCATCTTGTGAGCCTTCTACATGGTCAATGGGCCTAGTGGCCTGACCAAGAGTGGAGGTAATTTTGGTTTGCAGTCCTGTGTAGAGAACTCATTCTCTCACTCTGGCTACTAGGAATTTTACCTTTCCTCCTGCTTTTTCTTTTTCTTTGAGCTGGGTGTCTATATGTTGCTCAGGCTAGAGCAATCCTCCCACTCAGCCTTCTAAGTGACTAGGTATACCACTGCAGCCAACTTGACACCTGTTTTTATTGTGTGTTCAGCTAACACCCCCCCACACACCAAATTCTTTCCATTAATCTAGAGAGTATACAATCCCCCCTTCTCTCTTCCCCTTCTCACCCATTGCCTCTTGGGAAAAAGAGTTGGATGCCTCCAGGTAGTACCTTTCCATTGACTGATTTCCCAGGGTGACCCCACTGGATCTGCAATGGTACCTTCAAGTCCTTTTAGTATCCTGGGAAATAAATGATATTTTAGCTTGGAGAGATGAATTCATTTCAAACGATGAGATTGGTATCTGGAAATGTGAGCTTTTAGAGCTGTTTTTGCCCCTTGGTAGCTGTGTAGACTGTTATCTAAAATCTGAACTTCATTTCCTTATACCTAGAGTGGGGGCAATAATAATATCTACTTCATAAGGTTATTGACTAGTGGATGAAAATTATTATGTGGAATTGCTTTGGCAAATTGAAAAATGCTGTACAGTAGTCCCATTTCATCTGCTGGAGATGTTTACTGGGACTTCCAGTGTCTATCTGAAACTCCATATCATCCCTATACATAATGTATAAATTAGAATTCAGTATGAGATGGATGCTAATAATATTACAGTGATAATAATATACTAATAAAACAGTCATAACAGTACACAGTCATATTAAAGTCACATAAAATGCAATCCTTTGCACTTTTTCAAAATACTTTGCTATCCCATATGTTATTTTTTATTTTATTTTATTTTTTGGTTTTTCAAGACAGGGTTTCTGTGGTTTTGGAGGCTGTCCTGGAACTAGTTCTTGTGGATCAGGCTGGTCTTGAACTCACAGAGAACCACCTGCCTCTGCCTCCTGAGTACTGGGATTAAAGGCGTGAGCCACCACTGCCTGGCCCATATGTTATTTTTGAACTTCAGGTGACTGTGGTCATTGGAATCAGAGAGAGGAACCTTGGATAATGGGGACCCTCATATATTTAAAAAAAAGTTGTCATTTTAGAGTCTAACATCTGAGGTGTGAAGGGCTCCGTATTCATCTGGCTTTGCCTGATAAGCTCCTTCAGGCTTCTCTTCTCATTGTTTTCAGGCAGAACAGACCCATCCCCCACTACCACACCCACTCCAAGCGCCTATGCTGTGCTTGTCTCCTTTAACATCTGTCGGTCCTATTCCTGTCTCTTAGTGTAAATTTTGGGCTAAGGTTTGAAGGACTAGAGATTCTATTTCCCTCAAGAAAGCCGTGAACTGCAGGTGTGTGACATAGTCCAAGCAGTCAGGCAAGGATCGGTGAGTAAGTGTTGTTAGGTACAGAGTGAGCAGGACCCTGTGCAGCGGGGAGACTTCCCTGCCAGCTGGGAGACTTTAGGTAGCATGCAGGAGCTGAAGCAGAGACTCACTGTGCTATGTCTGGCAGAGTTTCCTGAGAGAAAGCCTGTAAAAACCCCACTCAGTGCAAACCAGGCCTGGTGATACAGGCCTATAATTTCATCTACTCTGGAGGCCAAGGCAGAAAGATCACAAGTTCAAGGCTGTTTGGGCTACAGGATGAGTTCACAGCTAGCCTGGTAAGTTTATTGAGGCCCTATCTCAAAGTACAAAAAGGGAAAATAAAAGAAAGTTGGCAAGCTGGGGCTATAGCTCAGTGGGAGATACATGGGCCTAGATTCAATCTCTGGTGCTGTATGACAAAAGCAGACACTCACTTAACTGAGCTCCAGTCCTAGGAGCTAAATTTTCATTGAACTATCATACCTCAGCTTCCCTAACCCAGCTTTAGTGTTTTTTGTTTTGTTTTTTCCAGGAAGTCAGACATGCCTTTACCTCGTTAAGCATTTTAAACTTATTTTTATTTTTATGTTAAGAATAGGAAAACTAGCTGGGCACGGTGGTGCTCACTTTTAATCTCAGCTCTCAGGTCAGACACAGGTGGATCTCTATGAGTTCAAGGCCATCCTGGTCTACATAGTGAGTTGAGGACAGCCAGGGCTACACAGAAAAATCCAGTCTTGAAAAAAACAAAACAAAATACAAAAAAAACAAAAAAAGAAAACTCTTGGTTCAAGCAGTTCTCTTGCCTTAGTCTTGCTGGAAGCCCCAACTACAGATGTGCACCATAACACATAGTTTGAAAAAAAATGGTCTATTACCATTTCTTTCTTTTTATCATTTTGTTCTTCAGTGCTGAGGATTAAACCAGAGATTCTGGAATGGAGGCAAACCCTCTGCTGCTGCTGTTGTCATCAGCCCTTAGGCATTTTACACACAGGACTTCCTCCCTTTCTCTGGTGGCCAGGTGGAGAAAAGCTCCATCCAAGGACTTGTTACCTTAGTGATTCTCCTTTCTAGACTTTCTTCCCCACTCTTCTGGAAAGTCACCAATATCCACCATGCCAATATCTTTTGGCTAAGGAAGTCTCTCCTCTCTTCCCCTCCCCCCCCTCTTTTTAAAGACAGGTCTCTCTACACAGTCCTAGCTATTCTGGAACTCACTATGATCCACCTACTCTCAAATTCTGGGATTAAAGTGCCAGGCTTGCCTTATTTCTTGAGCCTCACTGAACTGGAAACTGGCCTTTTGGGCTATGCTGGCCTGCTGGCCACTCTGCCTGCCTTTGATGCCTCAGTGCTCAGGTATAGACACACACTTTGCTCCCCAGTGCTCAGGTTATGCACACACACAGCCATGCCTGCCTTTTTACATGGCTGTTGGAGACTCAAATTTAGAATAAGGACTCTTAACTCCTGAGCTGTCTTCCTAGCCAAAGGCTGGCTAGCTCTTAACAGCCCACAGTCTATGAAAGCAGGCTTCTGCTTGTATGGGAGACTTTGGTCTGGACTAGAGCTCCTGATCCATATCTACAAGATTTGGGACTATGGAGAGGTAGCTCAGTGATAAAGCATTTGCTTAGCATGCATGAAGCCCTGGGTTTACTATGCCCCCAAAGATTGGAGGAGGAAAAATTAGTAACATTTACTGTTTGTATTAAAAACATAAAAATTTTGAGTTTCTTTCCCTCCCCTGTGGCTGGAGAGATTATTCGGTGGTTAAGATCACACACTGCTCTTGTAGAGGGCACAAGCTCAGTTCACAGTACTCATATCAGGTGACTTACAACAACTTGTAACTTCATCTCCAAGAGATGAAGTTTTGCCTCTGCACATACACAGAATTAAAAATAAAACTAATCTTCTAAAAATTTTAAAAGTTTTATCCTATTTGATATCGAGGAGTTTAAATTTATGAGAGGCCAAATAGAAATCCATACAGTTTGTGCAAATATAAATATTAAAACTGGTGGCCACAGAACAGAGAGAACAGTAAGTTGTTCTGATTTGGGAGGGGATGACTGCAGACTCATAAGGAATCATCTTAGGGAGTAAAGCAGATTTCTGTGTTTTCTGTCGTATGTGCAATTGCAGAGAGCCCTGCTGATGACTCCAGCACCCGACTCCACATCTTAAGCACTGTGTATGTGTTTAGCAGTGAAGACCTGTCTGTAGTGATTCTGTTTGTAACTCTGTGCTGCTTTTGATCAGCCCTCCCTCTGCTTCTGTATTAAAGGCTCTATCACCCGACACGACATAGACTCCCCACCCACTTCAGAGCGTGTAGTCAGTATTTACAAGTACGAAGACATCTTCATGCCATCGGCTGCCTACCAGACCTTCTCCTCTCCATTTTGTTTGCTCCTCATTGTCGCCCTGACCTTCTACTTGCTGATGGGAACCCCTTAGCCACAGCTGCAAGGCCAACAGACTAGATGGCGTGGAAAGCCTTCGGTATATATTTTTCAATAATCGCCTGTATCATTTTAGCTTCCATTATTTAAAAACAAGTCATGATTTCACTTTTTTGGGAGAAAAAAAAAAGAACAAGCTTTTCTCTTAGTCAAACAGCATTGTCAAGGCAACCCTGCTCTTGGGAAGTACTTAAAACATTTGCAAATGCTTCAAATGTTTTCTATTTGCGCTTTACAATATCTGTGCATTGACTTGGTAAGACCGAGAGAGTCATCATACTGCTTGGGATTTAAACCTAGACAAAGGCTGACTTTTGTTGGCCTACATGTCTCACAACCTTGGCTAACATGATCAGATAACACATAGCAAGGTAAAGAAAGAGCTAGACGTGGAAAGCTGTCTCAGAACAGTCTTTATTTTGAGCAGTTCTGCACAAGAGGGTTACTTTGCATGTTGCCGTGGAGAACTTTACAGGATGTCACAAGTGTATCATCAGCCTCTTGAGAACGTTTCCGTGTAGCCTAAATGCTTTTAGATAGTCACATAGTTGATGGGGAGTATGGGAGAGATTATAGTGCCAAGCAAGTGGTTGTGTTTATCTAAAGTATCTTCTCAATTAGCAAGTAGTTATGAGGAAACAGTTTTATATTGCTGTCAGGAAAGATGAAAAATAGAACTGTGAATATTCCTGAAGTTGTTAAATTACTTTAACGATAAAAATAGTTGAATTCTTAGTAGTTAGAATTTGCTCTCTTCTGCTACTGTGTTCTACCAACTAAGGTGTTCATGGATGGCTCTGCCAATGGTGTTTTTCAAGTTAGCATACATTAAGTATAATATGATATGCATTATGACAGACAAGTCATCTTAAGGAAAACATACACCAACATTTTTAAATACTATAGACATCAGGAGCAAAAATAGGGAGGAGGGGCCCTAAGGTAAGTTCACCAAGATTATACTTGAAAAAGGTTCAATTCTGTGTTTCCTTTTCTCAAAAGAGCCAGATATTCTTTTAGTCCAAATACATATGCTATCAGCTGACTAGAGGAGAGTATCTGTGGGCACTTACACTATGGGCCCATCCACCGTTGCATACCAGAATTCTCTGATATGTCCCCATTGCTTCCAAGCTGGCTCCAACTTTATAGTTGAGCAACACCAGCCTATGGTTTCTAAACCCATCGCCAAGATTCATGTCAGAGGTGAATGTCTGCCTGTGGGGAGAAGGCTCAGATTCTTCTGAACTGGAACCACAAAACTACTTTGTGACACTGCCCATACCCGTTTTCAAACTCAAGGGTCAAGCTGATGGCTCCACCTGACTACAACTGCCTCTTTAAGCCCTCTGATCCCGGTCAAGCTTGGCTCAAGCATGGCCAGTATATCAGCTTCTCAGCATTAGTAGTTGGTTTAGGAGTGAGGGTTGGGAGTATATAGAGACACCCGTGTTGTAAATAAGAAACCCAATATTTTTATATCCTTTATGTATATAGTAGTTGATCTATAAATGGCAGAGTAAATAGAGACCTCAGTTATGTTTCAAATCAAGTAACTGTTTCATAGTCTTTCCACTTTAGTGGCCAGATTTGTGTATTTCTGCTTGGAACTTTCAGAGTTATCCTTGCCCTTACAGTAACGTGCAAGCAACTCTCCTAAGTTCCAGTGTCTTCTGCCTCTTCAGGTCCTCTGTCTGTCCCGGCGTGTCTGAAGGGCCTTGAGTTCTTCCAGCCTGCTCTCTTTCACCTGTCCAGCCTTCCCTCCTGTGGATGATGAGCTCGTCTGTGAGGCTCTAACTTAAATTAGCTCTTCCTCCAGTCTTCTGGACTGTGTAGTTTTAGGACTGACTCAGCACTCCTGTAGCCTACTGGGCTTCTTCATCATACATGTCAGAATTTACTGAAATTTCTGGCTTTTTCCTGGCCGCTAACCCCCTCATTAGGAGCCATTTCTTTCTATTCATCCTTGTAACTGATGCTACTTCTTAGTAAGCACTCAGCAACCTGATGGGCTGAATTACAGAACTGTCTCAATGTTTTGAGTTTACTTGGGCCAGAGGAATCTCTTTTATATCCTTTACCCTACTAGCCTATGTGTTTATATATCCCACTCATGATCAAACCAGGTCTTCCCAAACATAAATGACAGAACCTTGGTGACAGTGTGGTTTTGCCTTTCAGCAGATATCAGTTGGCACTTTAAACAATAATCTCTGTCCTGAAATAAGGATTTACAGACAAGGGATGCATCACAACAGCTGACCATCATCTCAGAAAACAATCCACTGATAGACATGTTGAAGTTAAAGCCCTATAGACTTGGAATTCATCCATTTTCACCTAATCTAAGGAACGTCTACTTTTATCTCTCTATTCATTCTCTCTCTTTCAACAGGGCCTCTGAATCCTCCTTCTTCAGCCTCCTGGCTGTGCTAACTCAAGCATGCACCATCAGGTCTGACAATACGCTTTTCTTTTCTAATACAGTGTTGGTCCCGAGGGAGAAGCCTATCAGTGCTTTTTGGTGAAATGCCCAAGTGAGTGAAATGTGAGTGGCAGAAAAAACACATGTAGTGCTGTTTTAAGTTCTCCATGTGGATTAACTCTCTCAATCTACCGACCAGAGGAAGTGTCTGTTATTAATCCAGCTTTACAGAAGGAAAAACTGAGGTCCATCTTTTGGCAAACTTACCAGTGCTGGCAAGACCTTAGAGATGCTAATTCAATGCACTTGTCATTCAAGAGGTAGCAGGGGTGGAGGAAGCCCAGAGGACCTCCTACACCTCATGCAAAGTCTTTAAAACTTCCATTAGAAGAACCTGCTATTCATATTCAAATCAGCTAGGTGCCTTTCTGTCCCCCTAGTACTTTACAGTGACTATGAGGACATCTTAAGTTGTATTCGAGGAACAAGAAAACATTTGTTTTGTATCACTTTTTTTTCTGCTTAAAACCTTTTGATTATTTTTACCAGTCATTTCAGTACATAATTCTTTTAATTTTCTTCCCTTCTTTCCTTCCCTCCTCTCTTCCTTCCTCCTTTCTTTTCTTTTCTTTTCTTTTCTTTTTTTTTTGCAGTAGTGATGGTCATACCCAAGGCCTTGAACAGTAGTGTTCCACTACTCACCTCCCCCCCTGCTCATGCACATTTTTAGTACTATTAATGTTTTTTAAACTGTGTCGATTGGACACGATTGAAAGAATGCATTCGTCTTAGATAGCTTTTAAATATGACTTTCTTAAACCATGGTCTGTCTTACAACATGGAACTCCACATGCTTTTATTGTCCCACTATAGTGAAACATACATTCAGACAGAATCCAAAAGCTTCATTCAGTTACTTTGGGTTGGTTTTTGTCCTTAAAGAAACCAGAAAGTTTGACAGCTGAGGGCTGGCTTTCTGTTGCAGTACATTCATACTATTTTTACAATCCAAGCTTGCTGTCTGTATTCAGGATTTTGTCTTAAGCGATATTAGCACTGAAGTTGAATGCCAAGATTAACTTTGTCCCAGGATTTCTTAAATTTTCCTTGTAAAGGGCCAGGATGTAAACATTTCTAACTCTGTATTTCTGTCCCAGATGCTCTGCTCTGCCACACACAGTTCATAAATGAAAGAACATGGCTGCACATTAATAAAACAACTGAAATTTGAACTCCATATACTTTACAGATGCCGAATTGAAATGTTATATTGAGCTTTAAAAAGCTTTTAGAAAAAAATGAAAAACTCATTCTTAGTTCGCAGGATGAACAATAACAGGAAGTAGGCTGGGGTGGGCTTGTAGACTCTGGTTTTCCCACAGTGACTTTAATCATGGGCAGACTACCTATCTAGTCCGTTGTAAATCATATCACCAGTAACTTATTATTAGCTAGTTGTAAAAATATCAGTTAGTGAATACTTTGTTTAAACATGATTTATAGTTGGTTTGCTGTTGTAAATGAATAGTATGGTGGCATTCTTACACATTTATGTTTCTAAAATGTTTCCTGGAGTTGGCACTAAAGAGGTAACAGTAAAGAACCAATCTGGATAAGTTACAACTTTGTTTTGCCTAAGGTATGGCACTCATGAATATGTTTCAATGTTGAGATGCTTTTTTGGTGAATATTTCTATGCTTTAGAGTAATTTATTTCTGTATAGAAATTTTAAAAATTATCATAAGGGCATGAGAATGTTTTTTTACATACGACACATCTATCTCATATAATGAAACAGTGTGTGAGAAGCAGCATATAGCCACATGGTGAGGCAACTGGAGTTGATTATTGTATATCCTTACTCTCTAAACAGAACCGCATACTTAGTTAACAGTTGGTTATTTCCAGTGTTTATATGTATATATACTTGGTACATATGTGACAGATTGGGTATATTTGGGTATATTTATACATAAACATGCATACATACATACACACACACACACCCTGAACATTAGAGGTAATTGTCAGGATTGGTTCTTTTTCTGACCTCTTATATACTTTAACACCCAGAGATAAAACATTGTGTGTGTTATAGGCATACTTACCCTTGAATTTTTAGTAATTTAGTTTGTAGAAAGGATTCTTGGATCTTTTATTAAGCCTGGCCTCCTCTACCCAACATTATATGAATTGTCAAGAGCATATAAGCATTGTTTTTTAGCTTTTCTATACCATCAAGAAGCCAAGACTCATATATAATTAAGTAACTGGCATGTTACATGGCAGCCTAGACATGTTTTAAGTTGCATTAGTTTTCTTATTCTATTCTATTATTCAGTGAGCAATTTGTGTAGCTTCAAGATGGATTTCCTTGTGTTCTTAGTTAACAGATGGCTTGCATATAATTTCCTTTTTATGAAAATAGTTATTAAGGAAATATGAGCCTAAATATGCTGGCAATGGAAAAATGTATGTAAATCTCCTAGGCTTGTGAGTATGTTCCATTTAAGAACACACCAACTTTTGGGTAATATTTTCAGTTTTCTCCTAAATATTTGCTATTAGG